TGTTAAGATTTCCCATATAGGACACTCTCTTTTGTTAAGTAACTCGAAACCTTTGGTATTACAAAATATGCTTCATGTGCCGAGTATAAAGAAGAATTTGTTGTCTGTGTCACAGTTTACTCGTGACAACAAGGTATTTATCGAGTTTCATCCGTTTGAGTGTTTTGTGAAGGACACACAGACTCAGGAAGTTCTATTGAAAGGGAGGCTCACGCGTGATGGATTATATCAGTTACTGCCACACACTACTGAAGACTCAAACTGGCAGTTGAATCATGTTTCGAAGACATCTAACTCACTGGATTTGTGGCACAAACGTCTTGGCCATTCCTCGTTAGCTGCTGTTCGAGCTGTAATGAAAGCGTGTAATGTTGTTTCTAATGAAAATAAGTTGTCCCGTGTTTGTACAGCATGCTTACAAAGCAAAGCTCATAAACTACCATTTTGTACATCTTTAACTGAATACAAGAAACCTTTTCAGTTGGTTGTCTCAGATGTATGGGGTCCAGCACCGATTGTTTCTGCTGATGGCTTTGCTTATTATGTTTCTTTTATAGATGTTTACAGTAGGCACACTTGGATCTATCTGCTTAAAAGAAAGTCTGAGGTTATGCAGTGTTTTCTTAGTTTTTTCAAGATGGTTGAAGTTCAATTTGATTCTAAAGTTAAAATTTTACAGACAGATGGAGGTGGAGAGTATCAAGCTCTCAAAGGTTGGTTTCTTGCGAATGGTGTTCAACAAAGAGTCTCGTGTCCGAGTACCTCTGAGCAGAATGGGAAAGCAGAAAGGAAGCACATACATGTTGTGGAAATGGGTTTAGCGTTGCTAGCTGAGGCTGCACTACCCTTGAAGTTCTGGAGTCATGCGTTTCTGTCAGCAGTACACTTGATCAATCGGTTGCCAACTGAAGTGCTGAATGGCAAGTCACCTTTTGAGGTTCTTTACCAACAAACTCCTGATTATTCCATGCTAAAAGTTTTTGGCTGTGCGTGTTTTCCTCTTTTGAGACCGTTTAATCAGCACAAGCTGGATTTCAGGTCGAAACAGTGTGTGTTTCTTGGTTATAGTCCTTCATATAAAGGGTACAAGTGCTTAGATGAAAATGGGAGGATTTTTATCTCACGGCATGTTGTATTTGATGAAGAAGTGTTCCCTTATTCTGAGGGTAAGGCAGCTAATCCGAGTCGTGGTTCCTCGGACAGCATTCTACCTATAGTACAGTCGACTCGAGGGTCAAATCAGGTTGCTGGAGAAGCACCAAATTCAACTTGTGCTTATACACAGAATCCTGGCACACTTGTGGCTGATGCACCACATGTAGTTGGTGCTATAGAAGACAGTACATGTGCAGGTAGTGACTCAATAACACCTGCTGATGAAGCTGATCCAGGATCTAGTGCATCAACCAACCTGAACGGTAATGAGTTCGAATTATGTGAAGAATCACAACCTACTACAGCACAGTGTGATGAAGATCAATGCAATGTTCATCCTATGGTGACCCGAAGCAAGAGTGGAATTTATAAACCCAAAGTTTTTCAAGTGGCTTGTTCAGACAAAGAACCACATACCATTCGGGAAGCCATGAAAAGCTCAGAATGGAAGGCAGCAGCTCAAGCTGAATACGACGCACTAATGAAAAACAACACGTGGACGCTTGTTTCACTGCCGAGTGGTAGGAAACCAGTAAGTTGCAAGTGGATTTTTAAAATTAAGAGAAATGTTGATGGGTCTATAGCAAGGCATAAAGCCAGACTTGTGGCCAAAGGTTTTTTGCAGCAGCCTGGGATTGACTATCATGAAGTTTTCAGCCCTGTGGTCAAGCCAGCAACCGTACGTGTCGTTCTATCCCTTGCGTTGTCAAAAGGATGGTCGCTAAAGCAAGTCGATGTCAACAACGCCTTTCTGAATGGAGTCTTAGCTGAGGAGGTGTATATGGTGCAACCGCCAGGCTATGAGCAGGGTGATGGTAACCTGGTCTGTAAACTCAACAAAGCCATTTATGGACTGAAGCAGGCTCCTCGAGCATGGTTCGAGAAACTCAAAGAATATTTGGAGAATCAACGGTTTGTTTTATCAAGGTCCGATGCCTCGCTGTTTGTTAAGGAGACTGCTGGTACTATCGTGTACTTGCTTGTATATGTAGACGACATCATTGTGACTGGAAGCTGTGACAAAGAAGTTCAGGATGTGATTAACAAGCTCAATAGTCAATTTGCTTTGAAGGATCTAGGGTGTTTGAATTTCTTTTTAGGAATTGAGGTATGTCGATTAGGTGATGAGGTTATTCTCAGTCAGCAAAAGTACATACGAGACCTTTTGCGTAAGAGTGGTTTGGAAGATGCTAAAGGGCTTCCCACTCCTATGGCTACCAGTTGTAAGTTGACTGTTGACGATGGTACACCGGTTAAAGACGCTACTCACTATCGAAGTATAGTTGGTGCATTGCAGTATGTTGTTATCACCCGTCCAGACATTGCCTTTGCGGTGAATAGGGTGTGTCAGTTTATGCAGTCTCCGTGTGATATTCATCTTCAGGCAGTGAAGCGCATACTAAGGTACTTACAGGCCACAGTGGACTTTGGTCTTCGATTTTCAGCATCGTCACGCTTGTCCTTGACAGGGTTTGCTGATGCAAACTGGGGGTCCGATGCAGATGACAGACGTTCGACCTCGGGCTACTGCATCTATTTTGCTGGAAACTTAGTCTCATGGGGCTCTCGCAAACAGCAGGTGGTTGCTCGCTCCACTGCAGAAGCTGAGTATAGGAGTGTTGCGTGTGCTGCTGCTGAGATGGCGTGGCTTGAATCACTCTTAAGTGAGCTACGTGTGACTGTTCATGGCAAGTCTGTTCTATGGTGTGACAACTCGAGTGCTGTTGCAGTCTGTGCTAATCCAATACTTCATTCAAAGTTTAAACATGTTGAACTTGATTTATTTTTTGTTAGGGAGATGGTGGCTGCTGGAAAACTCTCTGTTCAGGAGATTCCTGCTTTTGAGCAAGTGGCTGATGTTTTAACCAAGCCATTGTCTGCTCCCATGTTTCTCAAGCATAGACAGCGGCTGCTTGTGTCTCAAATTCCAGACAAATTTGTGCACTCGCAGGTTGAAGATTGAATAAAGCCTGAGCGAGGTTGAGGTTGTAGTACGGGAAGTGTTAGTGAACGTTTCTCAAGCATTCTTGTTTTTTCTTTAACGTAGGTTGGTGCTTTTTAACAAGGAAGGTTTTGCAGTAGGGGGTATGTTAGTGTATACAACCAGAGAAAGCTGTTTTGGCTCTCACGGTTAGGTTTGTTATAATCAGTTGAGGTTGTTGTAACTGCTAGAGTTTCTAGAATTGCACTTATCTGGTGTATAAATGTAGCTCTCTCTACGTTTGAGAGAGATATGTTTTTGTGAAATAAATCAAGTTTCATAATCTTGCTTTACTGAGATTGTAACATTGTTTGTTGTTCAGAAGAAGGGTGAGTTTATGTATTGATCTAAGTTGATGATATCATTCTAACGGGGGAGTCTAATGCTGCTGTTGAAGCTGCTGTTCAAATGCTGTGGCAGAAGTTTTCATTGAAGGATTTAGGTGAATTACAATATTTTCTAGGATTTGAAGTGGAGCGTTTTCATGGACATTTGTTGTTGAGGCAACGCAAATTTATAACGAAATTATTGGTCAAAACCAATATGCTTGAATCTAATCCAGCGTCGACTCCCATGGTTGCTTATCCAAAATTGTCACGGGATGGTAGTCGTGTTCTTGAAGACCCTAGTGCGTATAGGAGTATAGTTGGAGCTTTGTTGTACTTAACTCGCACCAGACCGGATGTTGCGTTCAGCGTTAATCGTATTGCACAATATATGCAACGTCCATGAGAGGAGCATTGGTTGGCTGTTAAACGCATTTTGTGTTATTTGAAGGGAACGCTGAATCATGGACTAGTGTTTCGTGCAAATGGAAGATCTACTTTTTTTGAAGCATTTGCTGATGCAGGCTGGGCAAGTGACAGCGACGATCGACGATCTGTCACTGGATTTGGAGTGTTCTTGGGACAACATTTGGTGTCATGGTGCTCTCGAAAACAAAGGTCAGTTTTGAGGTCGACCACTAAGGCAGAATATCGTAGAGTGGACTAAATGAACCAAACCAATATAAATAGGCCCATCTTTACAATTTTACTGCCAGCCTAAACTCAACCCTGATAACAAAGCCTCACGTTAAAAGATAGTCCCAAAATAGAAAAATAATGAGACGTGTTCTTTAAAGTCCCTTAACTTACAGTAATTGCATAGTTGGTACTCGCCCTTTTGAATTAATTAACTTATCGCATTTGAATAAATATAAATAAATGATGTCATTGAAGTCGGTATGGATAATTACAAAAACCATAAATGTCCAAACTCATTACAACTTAAAGCTAAAGGCGTGATCTTTTTAAATTACGTCTCCCAACATGATAATGATAAGTGACTAAATTTAAGTCGAGATTAACAAGTGATCAGTGTAAAACGAAGCCGTTTCATCCGCCGCCCCCCTTCCATCTTCAAAATCTCGAACCCTCTTACGTATTCACGACGCCCAACACGTGTCCTAAATCAGTCTCCTCTGCGGGGCCCTCGATACCGACCATCGCATTCCATCCAGGTCCCACCAGAGACAAACTTATCCCAGTGTGTCATGATTTTAGTGGTTACGGAGTTTGACTGTTGTTTTCCCACCAGCGCATCTCATAAAATAGCTTAGATACTCGCTGTCTTCAACAGGCATGTTTACAGACGTCGGGTGGAAAAGCGAGTGAAATACAATCAAGCAGCTTGAGAGAGTGAATTTCTTTAAAACATAATTATACAAAGTTTAACGCAGAGGTCGGTTACACTTTAAGCGATGGCGCTTGATTTGCCAACCCATTTAGCTTCCTTCCGTTCATTTTTTTTTATTACTTAACTGCGTTAGATCCGTGTTCAGTGAGTCGACTGTCTCTTTCCAAGTACTATAAAACCCCATTCTTTCTTCTCCCAGAATCATCAATTTGGCAGCCAACTTTGTATTAAGTGAGAAGTGATCATTAGCCAGCTTCGGTTGATCGTTTATATTTCTTGTGGTTTAGTTTCTGTTTGATCTGAAAATGGCGGAGGAGCATGCCAACAAGGTGGCCGGGTCCGATGAGCAAGGAGCAGTGGAGAGCAAGGACCGAGGGATGTTTGATTTCCTGGGGAAGAAAAAGGAGAAGGCTGAGCCTCAACATGAAGCGGTGGCCACTGAGTTCGACAAAGTCAAGATAGAAGAGACAAAGGCAGAGAAGGAACACAAGGAAGGTGAGAAGAAGCCCAGTCTCCTCGAGAAGCTTCACCGATCGGATAACAGCTCCAGCTCTGTAAGTATTTTCATTGTCTTTAATGTTCAACAAGTTCCCCATATTTGCATATAATATAAATTATAACATGAGTCTATTTTGTAAATGTGCAGTCCAGTGACGAGGAAGAAGGTGAAGGCGGGGAGAAGAAGAAGAAGAAGGAGAAGAAAGGATTGACGGAGAAGATCAAAGAGAAGATCGGTGGAGAAAAGAAAGAAGGTGACACCGCCGTCCCGGTGGAGAAGTGCGATTCGGAAACGACGGAGAAGGGTGTCATGGAAAAGATCAAAGAGAAAATCCCCATGCAACACAAGAAAGATGAAGAGGTTAAAGCGCCGCCCCTAGCTGCTACTGTATCAGCTGAGAAAGTTACGGTGGTGCACCATGAAGAAGAGTTGCAGGAGAAGAAGGGATTTTTGGAGAAAATCAAGGAGAAGATTCCTGGTTACCACACCAAAACTGAGGACGATAAAGTCAAGGAGAAAGAGACCACTGCTTCCCATTAAACACTCGATACTCTATATTTCAATTAAAAAAATGTCTATGGGATTGCTTCTTTTTTGTTTTGCTTACATATTTCATGTTTGTGTTTTGTGTTCTGTTGCAAGTAAAAAAAGTGTGTTACTTTAAATTAAATAATATTATATCTAAGAAATTATTATGTATTTGTTTCTTTTTCATTATTTTGGATTTGTTTGGCAATGGGCATAAATTAGGTTTTATTAGATTTATAAAAATACAACCTTTATAATTAAACCCTATCTATGACCTGTGCTACTTTTTCAATTATTTCTAATAAATTTTCAACATCGTGAATCAATATTTGATTTATTTTAGAGTTTCGGATTAAAGTTTGAGGTTTAGAATTTGAAATTTTAAATAGGTTTTAATTATAAAAAAATAAGTGTTTAATTTATATATGTATTTTTAAATACATTCAGAATTTGAAATTTTTAACTCCATTAAGATGTTACGTTAATATTTTAATTTTAAAGATCGTTAAAAAGATTCGTTAAGCGGCATAAATTTAGAATTTTGAAATTTTTATTTTTAAAAAAAAATCGCCTCCTCTGCTCTCTCTCCCTTTTGTCTTCTCTTCCCTCTCTTTTCATCATTTTAATTTTTATGATGAAACTCAAAAACGGTCGGTCGATCAATCAAATAGCTAAGAATCGACTTTTACAGTCAATTAAACAATCTCGGATATCATGATCAATTAAATAAATTGAATGGATCGAGTATTTTGAATTTTAGGGATTTAAAATTAAGAATTTGGGAATCTAGATTTGTATACGGTTAGGGGTGGTCGTCAACGTATGCCGTTGATAAATGGGTGGCTGGAGATAATCAAAGGTTGAAGTAAATGAAATTAAAATAAGAGATTTTAAAATTTTAGATTTTTTTGGTATTTTAAAAAAATGGAGTTTTTTGAAAATAAAATATTTGTAACTTTTTTAAATAAAAATTTAAAATTATCATATTGTAGTACACGTCATTTAACGATATATTTTAATGGTTGTTAACATCACACTTAAAATGATAACTTATTTGAATGGGTCGAAAAATATTTTAGACACCTATTCGGGAAAAAAACGATATAATTTAGACACTTATTTTATACTTAAACTTTTTATAAATATTAGGATTTTGAATTTTAAGATATATAATTAAAATAAATAAATTTTATACAACCTATACATAAAATAATAATATATTATATATAATTATTTTGGTATAAAGATAACATCTGAATTTAATTTATTGAAAATTAAAATATATAGATAATGTTGCAAACTCAGATACATTTGAAATGTCAAACCCAGATACTTGATGGCATTATAGACGGGGACATGCACGCAAGTAAAAGCCCTGTTATTATGATTGAAAGCATGTATTTATGTGTAAATGACTCATTTATCCATCCATATCACGCATCGGATGCACTTTCCTTCCAGAAGTAATTCAAAGGCTTTGTTGATGTCTTCAAACCTCACCTCATGTGTCACAAATTCATCCACCACTAATTCCTGCAAAACAATATAACCACTTTAAAAAAAAACAACTAACATTAGCATGTAAGGCCGCTTGATGCCCCTCCGAGTACAAATATATGTAGGGTTAGAATCTATTTACACATAAAATTTTCAGTTTTATTTCATTTTAAGATTGTTAAATACGTGGAAATAGACAATTTAGATTATCTCTTTTTCTCTGTAAATATTTTTCCATTTCTTACTATTAATTTATACGATGATCCTACAAAGATATAAAACTCAAAACAATTACATGGTATAAACAGATCTGCCTCATATATATATATATATCATCTACCTTGTCAGTGTAACGTTTTAGCAGAAGTGGGAGATCAGATTTGGGTTTGACTCCTCCATACAAGGAACCAGTGAGGATTTTCCCAGAATGAAGAACTTCATAAGAGCTCAAGTTTAACTGTGCACCTGGCTTGTCCACTCCTAAAACAATAGTCTTTCCCCAACCCTGCAATTGCACACAATGCTTAAGATTGCAGGAACGAAGTTATCTTGCACATATATTTTTCTTGGTAAGAGCAACATTACTACAAGTCCAGCCAGAGATGAAAGAAGGGTAGATTTTAGAACTTCAAACTGATGATAATCTGGGCACATATGCTTTTACAAAAATGTTTACATGCATGTGTAGGGACGGACGAAAGATTTTATACTAGGAGGGACGAAAATGGAATACCTTCCGACAGCTTGCAAAGGCTTCTTGTACCAAGGATGCTATCCCAACACATTCAAAGCAGTAATCTGCACCTCCTCCAGTCATCTCCATGACTACCTGCTCAATGTTAAAATGGAAAGAATAGAAAGGTAAAACCTACACGTTTGTAAATTAATCAGTTACTCATGAAGGTTAAATGTTCCTCAAAATCTGCTTTTTTTGCTGCACATTTTATTTCAAAACAATGATTCACAAAACATTTTTGTTCCGTCAAAACTGCTTGAAATGAACAGAAAACTTCAAAACCAACTGAATTCTAAGGAATAAGCAACAACAACAACAACAACAACAAGACCTGGCTTAGAGATTTGTCCCCGCATTCTTTTGAATTGATAAACTCGGTGACTCCAAATTTTTTTGCTGCGTATATGTGAAAGAAGAAACATCAACCAACAAAAACACACAAAACAAGACATCATTCTCATATACAAGTACTATCAATACTCATGTAAGGAGACTTTGGCTATTTTTTCAAAAAATTAATTTACTCACCAACTTCAAATTTATCTGGGTTCACATCCACTCCTATAATTCTATTTGCACCACATAATTTTGCTCCCTTTGCAACCTGGGAAACAAAGCAGGCTGTGAATCAGTCTTTCAAACTTGCAAACATGTACGGATATCGTATTGCCAGTGAAACATTAGATCGAGATTATACCGCTAGTCCGATCGATCCCAGCCCGAAGATGACAACAGTTGATCCGGCCTCAACATTTGCCGATTTGCAAGCAGCACCAACCCCTTAAAAAGCATAAAGTTTGTGATATTTTTTATCAAACACTTTGTAAACAAGAAATGCCAGCAAGATCTAAGCACCACCATTACCTGTAGCTACACAACAGCCAAAGAGGCATGCCCTATTTGGAGGGATTGAAGGATCAATCTTGACTACATGGCAGACATCGACCACTGTGTACTCGGAGAAACTCGAAATGAATAGGAAATGATATAAAGTCTGTCCCTTAAGGTCAGTGAATCTGCTAGACTCATGTCTAGGCATCCATGGATGGACCTTGAATGGGAATTTTGAACATAAATTGCTCTGTTTGGAACAACAATCATCACATTCTCCACATTCTGATAAGAAAGTTGGAATGACGATATCCCCTGCTGCTACCTCGTCTACATGCTCACCCACACTCTCCACCACACTAAAACATAATGTCCGAGTTGTAAATTGAATGAAAAATGAATTTCTTTCCCAAGAAATGTCAGCATATTACAATATAATCTAAATTTGTATACTCGGAAATAAAGCTGTTATTATTACTATTATATAGAAGATTGTCGATTCCCCCCCCCCCCGGGTTTATATCATAAAGACTGTCTAAATAAAAGTCAAGGTTACGATGTTATCCTAAGAAATAGCAGGAAAATGGAAAATAAGAGAGAGAGAAAAGGTCAAAGAAGAAAATGGGGCTCACCCGACCGCTTCGTGGCCTAGGATTCTGGGGAAACAAGCAGGAGGCACCTTCAAAGAAGAATTAAATTTCAGGTTAGCAAAAAGAAGGGCCAAACTCAACAAAAAAAGAGGCGAGTCCAGAGAGAAACCTTTAGTTTCCAGAACGTGATGTCGCTGTAACAGAGAGATGTGCAGATGATTCGAATTCGAACTTCGTACGGACTCGGAGGAGCCACCATGATTTCCTCTATCACTAAAGGCTCGCCTGCTTCGCGAGAAATTGCAGCTGAAACGCAGGAAGCAACACTCGGTTTCATGCTCTAACAAAGCAAAGCACAAAAGGAAGGAAAAAGAAAAACTGGGAAAAGTTGGTTGAGAGTATACCTTTGCATCGAATTGGTTTTCCGGCTGTTTCACTTGACGATTTGCCGTCCGCCATAGTCTGGGAAATACAAAGGTGATGATTGGTTGGTGAAGACGGAGTACTGTGTAATAACTGGATTGCCCACCTGACAATTTTTATAGGGTCAAAAAGTTTGAAACGAGACGAAATCTTGCCAATTCAAAACGTAGACTTTTAGATTATATTGAATATGTTGATTTATTCCCTTCGCCAATGGTATTTGATGTGGGTACTGGCAAAATTAATTCCAAAAAAAAGGATAACTTTTAATTATTATGATCTGTTTGTTAGACTGTAACTATTTTTTTTTAAAATAATTTATGTAAAATAAATTATTTAAAAATTATTTTACGTAAAATAAATTATATAAAAAAATATGTAAAATGAATTATATTTTATTAGAAAACATTTTTAGATACTATTTTACAGTATTTTGATGACATTGTGTAAATTATTTTCACTTATTGTTTGATACATTATAATTAATTTTATAACAAAATAATTTACATAAAATGAATAAAGTTTTGTTTAGTTAATATTTTCGAAAAAATTTAACATCCTTAATTTTAATTATTACTATTTTATTCACATAATAATAAATTATTATATTAATATTAAATATATAAATTAATATTATTAAAATACTAATAATTAAAATTATGTTATATGGGTATTAATTAATTTAAATATTTACTAAAATTATATTATACGTGTATTAAATATTTTAATATTTTTAATTATTATAATAATTTAGTGCATAGTAATATAATATTAAAAATATTTAATATTATTTAAATTATATTATATGTGTATTAAATATTTTAATTATTAATATTTTTATTAAAATAATATTAAAATCTTAATTTAATATTAAATAAATAAAGTAATATTTTTTGAGTGTTTATACTTAGAAGGAGTAAACTATAGCAGTGACCACCTAACTATAGCCCTTATTTATTTTAACCATCATTTTTGAATTTTTGTCAACCAAACACCCAACTATTTAAATATTTACAATCAGACCACTTGACGTTAATATCTAACGAAAGTTGTCGAAACGGTTTTTTCTTCGGGATTTTAAAAAACACACATTTTTTAATTTATCTTTTGATTTAATTTTTTATAAAAAAGTAATATGATTTTTAAAAAATTTCTCGTTTCGAAAAATTTAAGATTACCTTTTAAAAATAAAAACGTATAGTTCAAGGAGTATCCACCAATATTTGACTATGGTGTAATTGCGGACCCAAAATATATTCTGTCATTTTAAAAATAGTAATTTTTTAAAAAAAATCATTTATTTCAGATATAATACTAAGATTAGTTCTCAATGTTTAATTAATTTTCAATTTCATTTTATTATTTTTCAAAAAAAATATAAAAAAAATGTACACACCTGTAAATGATTGACGTTTGACATTTTTTTGAAAAAAATCGCATTGTACTGAAGAATAATAGCTAGATCAATCATAAACAATATATTATTTTTCAGTTTCGTCTTTATTTTCTTTAATATCAATCTCATTATTTCAAAAATTTCAATTAAGTCATTTTTGTTCTTACTATTCTCCACGTGTATAGAAAAATTAAGGCTTAAGAGTCATATTTGTCCTTGTAGCAGATTAAAAATATAATTTTTCGTCTTTGTCGTATTTTCGAATCAATTTAGTCATCAAAATTGTTTAATTGTATTATTCTATACCCTTCTCATAATTTAAACCCCTAAATTATAAACTATAAGTTAGTGTTTAGATATAATATGCTTATGGTTTAGGGTTTAGAATTATAATTTAGGATTTTAAGTTAGGCGTAGGGTTATAAAATGATACAATCAAGTAATTTTGAAGGCTAAATTGATGCGAATATACGATAAGGGCGAAAGTGATAATTGAGTTTACTATAAGGGTAAAGGTTACTTTTGCCAATACTTAATCCTCGCTATTTTTTTAATGTTTCAATTTGAACCTTAATACTAATCGCATAAAAAACATTGATTCTTTACATGACATAAATTTCAATGGGTTTACTAAACTGTAAAATTACGAAATAAAAAAATCAAAAACAACATAAGGATCAAGATTAACCTACTAGAAATTAAACTCACTATGAATAAATAATTATTTTCTTACTTCTTGAGTATAATTATCAATATTTAATTTATTAATCGATTAATATAAATTGAATATCATAAAAATTTAATATAAAATGACTCTTAAATTAATTCAATCTATCCTCAAATATTAATATTCAAAACTTATGGTACTATGGGAGGATGCAGTCACGGATCTTTATCTGTGTAGGGAGGAACCGACTAAATTGCCCAGTTCTACGAAATCTTCCATCCTGCTCGAAATGGATAAACCTCCCATAATGTACAGCTGGAATTTGCAGATGATGTCAAAGTTACTCGAAGCTAATGTCCAAAATTCCTATATTTGTCTGCTTCTCTTCCCATTTCCACATAATGCTCGTTATGAAGGCAATTTTATATTAAAAACCCTAAAAAATAATTATTTAAAAGAAATAGAGTCTTCTAGAAATTATTTGAAATAATAACTCACAAATCGTTCACATCAGACGACTTCGCAGCTTGTAAACTGCATGTTAAATACTCACGCTCTTCAACACACGAGATACATATGATGTGGGCACACTTTTCAGGTAAGTCAATAAAATAATTAGATAAAATGATATCGCGCATTGCGAAGCATGATGTAACCTTTATGATCTAAAATATCGCGAGATTTATGAGGGACCTCGCTGCCTACAAAGCACGAGGTACTAGGAACAGAATAAATTTCGTGTGTTTTCAACGTAACTCGCATTTTGCAGGACACGAGCTGCATTTAAAACTGTGCTTCCCTAGATGCTAGAAGGGCTATGAATAGGGTCCTCCATTCCTATTTATCATCACACACATCTCTTTCATATATTCAAAGATTTCATATCATGGCGGTGAGTATATTAAGACATGATCGAAGTCACGTATCCGATTATTGGAAGTAAAATGATGAGGTAAATTAATTAATATTATTTTATATTTTTACTATTTATTTATTTAGTTTATTTGTTTTGCTATTTAAATAATTTTTTAATATTTTATATTTCGTATGTATATGAATGTGTATTAGAGTGTCATATAAATCGTGTGACACCGTCCGATGTAGATATTATTGACTAATAATATTTAGCGGGTTTCAGATATATCAGTAGTATAACTCGTGACGGTGTGAAGTTGCATCCTCTACTTATAAATGTGTTGGTGGAAAGATGGAGACCGGAGACACACACGTTTCACGTTTCATTTACTGTCTGGGGAGACAACTATTACCCTGTAAAATGTTGCATTTCATATGGGATTGCCTATTGATGGAGTAGCTATTACTGGTGTTGTCGGTGCCCCTAGAAACTTATGTGAGGTGTTGCTCGGAATTGATCTGCTTGATGATGCACGCGATGGTGGAAAAAATAAAAATTAAATTTTTGGATAAATATTTTTACGAACCTACCCGAGAATGCAGAGCATGAGGTGAAGGAGGTAAATATAAATGTTTTTATCTATGAATATTTATTAATATACTACGAGTTATTGGAGGGTTTAATGCCAAACAAATCTCGAAATAAGGTGCATCTGATGTGGCTGAATCATTTGCAAACTTAGAGTATTCAAGAAATATAAGTTGGGGGTCGACAGTTTTGACATTTTTGTTCCGGAAGCTTTGTAAAGTCGTCGATCAGACGAAAAATGTCATTGGAGGGTGCTTATTGTTGTTGCAGTCGTGGGCCTGAATCTGAAAGCCATTTTTATGCCCGATCCTTAAAACGCATGTCTCATATGAATTTTCATTACTTAAGAGGTAAAAAAATAATTTTTATCTATTTTTTATAATATTACTAACAATAATACAATTCTATTGTATTAATGATAGGTGGACTGATGAAACCTCTCACATCCACTTACCAACACGTCAACTAGACTTCAGAATCTTGATCAATTAGTTTGGACATTAGATAATAAAATATTTTCTTTCGACTTTTAGAATAATTTAATTTATTTGATGTTTTTAGCTAAGAAATTTATGTAATTTTAATTTTATTGTTCATATGGACGTCTTACTGCGATACTGCTATTGTCGATTGTATACCGCATTAGATTCGAGTGACTAATGCGCCCATGTACATTGTGTCAATCCCGCTGATCTTGTATGAGATAGTCAAGTGGCATCCTACCGAGATTGTCCTTCGACAATTTAACTGTGTCCAATCGATTCTGTCATATCTACCTTACTTGGATGAGTTGAATCGATTGACGCGACAAGGGAATATGGAAATTAATTGGGTGGACCATAATGCAGTGTATCTGAATGAGTGGGTCCGAAGATTTGAGAGGACGCCCATGACTCAACCCATCTTTAACCACAGCGTGACATAAGATATGATGCTACATATATTGTTCAATAAGGAGAAAGTGCGAGAATTATATGTTCCTCTAGAGAGTCGTCCACGAACGGGAATGCAATGTGGGGGAGTCAAGGCAGAGAAGAAGACTACAACAAAGTGCATCATCCTCATCGACAACAACACAGGGACCTCCTCAAACACCGCTGACACACACTCGACTCAATCAGCATTTCAGCAAATAGGGCAGTTTTCGAAAGGTTTCCTCATTGACATCTTTGACCAGTTGAATTCACCGCCGACACAATTGGAGGCTAACTTTGGATTCGGTATTGTTGCGCAAACGTAGCCACAGAGCATATTCTACATCGATCCCTATTCTTGTGCTAGTGGTGGATCAATTTCATATGCAGGTGCCAGTCCTGATGATGATTATATTGTTGAAGAGGAAGAGAAACTACAATTACGTCCGCATCAGACTCGTCGTCCACCACGATGTGAAACTGGTGGACATAGGCATTATTAGTTGTTATTTATTTCATTCTTCAAAACTGAAATATTTTTACTAAACTATTTTATTTTGAGTTAATCAAAACATTTTCAGTGAAAATCGGACCCTGGATCCCGCGATATCTATAGTACGTTAGTAAAACCACGCATCTTGCAAAAAGCAATATACTAAGATCTCACAACCTACAACCCGAGTTATTTAGAAATTGCGTCTTGCAGCCCGTGAG